GCAGCTGGCCCGCTCTCACGCTCAGCTGGTAGTTTTCCACACCCACCTACATACACGTAGGCTAGTAATGTACTCACTACCATATGCGCAGTGGCAGGCCTGCTAACTATCATCGTTAACCCCCGAGACCGAGGTCTACTTAAGCAGCTGGCCCGCTCTCACGCTCAGCTGGTAGTTTTCCACACCCACCTACATACACCGTCCTACTTCTTCTCTGATGCTCACAACCACATCATCATATCTTTCTGCGTGTTCTGTGTAGTCTTTGTTACTAACTCCATGCGCCACTTTAGGAGCAGCACTGTTAATTGGAACGCAACAGCGAATCGTGCAGGACTATCCCCAGCCGATAAACATATATAGGGGCCGGAAAAAGTAGGTGCTGTTAATCCTGTTTACTTTTGAATTACCTCTTACTTGAACAATCGAATGATGACAGGTTGGATGTGAATAAATTGAACCCACTTGGAAGTACAAGCTGTTCTCGGTATATTTTAGAGTTGACAAAAGGATCAACTGGCTGGGTGTCAACTTGCAATGATGCCAAACATACTGCCACTTATTGATTGAAGCTAGTTCTGGATCAAATAAGGGAGTTTTTCTAGAAATCAGCAGCAAATAACCTCTAAACCTTGAAACATGAGAAATCGGCAGTGCCGGCCGGTCAGAATATGTTTCAGAATATGTTCGATTAGTGCACGAAAAGGGTTTTGTTTCACAAAATCGAAAATACTATCTTCAATTATTATCCTTCGACTAACTGATGTCTGAATACGATTTCTTCTCCTTGTCATCGAAGCGCTTTGGTGACTTACCTCACAACTGGTACTGGTACTGGTACTGGTGGGGGACGTTTCCACGTCAGCAACTAGTCCCCAATGGGACCTTTTTGCCAACCCCAAGTGTTTTCAATGACTGATGTGGTTCGCTCAAGAGAGCTGGCTAACATCCTTTTCAGGCACCGCCCATCAGCTCTCTTTTCAGAATTTTTCAGCTGTGTTTTGTAGGCTAGTAATGTACTCACTACCATATGCGCAGTGGCAGGCCTGCTAACTATCATCGTTAACCCCCGAGACCGAGGTCTACTTAAGCAGCTGGCCCGCTCTCACGCTCAGCTGGTAGTTTTCCACACCCACCTACATACACGTAGGCTAGTAATGTACTCACTACCATATGCGCAGTGGCAGGCCTGCTAACTATCATCGTTAACCCCCGAGACCGAGGTCTACTTAAGCAGCTGGCCCGCTCTCACGCTCAGCTGGTAGTTTTCCACACCCACCTACATACACCGTCCTACTTCTTCTCTGATGCTCACAACCACATCATCATATCTTTCTGCGTGTTCTGTGTAGTCTTTGTTACTAACTCCATGCGCCACTTTAGGAGCAGCACTGTTAATTGGAACGCAACAGCGAATCGTGCAGGACTATCCCCAGCCGATAAACATATATAGGGGCCGGAAAAAGTAGGTGCTGTTAATCCTGTTTACTTTTGAATTACCTCTTACTTGAACAATCGAATGATGACAGGTTGGATGTGAATAAATTGAACCCACTTGGAAGTACAAGCTGTTCTCGGTATATTTTAGAGTTGACAAAAGGATCAACTGGCTGGGTGTCAACTTGCAATGATGCCAAACATACTGCCACTTATTGATTGAAGCTAGTTCTGGATCAAATAAGGGAGTTTTTCTAGAAATCAGCAGCAAATAACCTCTAAACCTTGAAACATGAGAAATCGGCAGTGCCGGCCGGTCAGAATATGTTTCAGAATATGTTCGATTAGTGCACGGAAAGGGTTTTGTTTCACAAAATCGAAAATACTATCTTCAATTATTATCCTTCGGTTAACTGATGTCTGAATACGATTCCTTCTCCTTGTCATCGAAGCGCTTTGGTGACTTACCTCACAAAGTAAACTCCAATACCTTGTTACACATTATTAATAATATTCTTAAATGGTGAAATAATAATATACGCATTCATGATATAACATGATTTTAACGAGAATGTCTTCGTATAAATAATGAACGACTTGCTTGGCTGAACACACTGTCCCAGAGACAGTATAGTAGAGTAAGGTGGCAAATTTTTCTGCAGATAAAATAGTTTTTTTGAAGAAACAAGCTACCATAAAAGTCCATACAAGATCGTTGTGTTAATATGAAATGAACAATGGTCGTACGCTTCACAATGCCGGTATATCCGGTTTGACTTCGCCTTATTTATTGGTTCGTTTCCAGAAGAAATAAGAATTTATCAATAGCGAATACGAAGGGACTGGAGAATGAAGAATGAGCCTGGTTGCTGTAGTCTCTTCGATGAAATAGGATAACTGGCCTTCAGAGACACCGCTATTTCAACGTATCGAGCAGGTTGTTAGGATTGATCCTTGTATATTTCAAGATAGGTCTCCATATGTATAGACTCTATTATTTTCTTTTCTTGTATACAGGGTGTTCTGAAATCAGACTGCAAAACTTCTCTAGCGGCTTCTACGACCAAAAATAGGAATGAATGTTTCAATGTAGATGAGGCGAAAAATGACTCCCTAGAGAGCAATGATCTCCTGAAAGAAGGCTCCTGGAAATGATATTTCTTGAATATTTCCGAAACGTCATGTGATAAACGATGCAAGTCAATACGAAACTTTCTATGCACGACACTCAGAGAAATAGTCACTTAGTAAAATAAGCGCCAGTCACTACATTCTACAAATAATACCACAACAAAGTTGTATCATATACTGAAAATACTATAAGTATCAAACTGTTTTGTAGTAGTGATATTTGATATAGTATAGTATTAAACAATTTTGTAGTGGTATTATTAGAGGAATGTAGTGACTCGCGCCTATTTTACTGAACGATTGGTATTTACTACCGACTATTTTTTTCAGTGAATGCAGTACAAATAAAATCATTCCAAGATTTTGTTCAGGAGTGCATAATACAGGGTAGGACTACATCAACTATTGCTCAAACTTTATTCTTCGCATAATTTTCGATAATTCAATCGCGAATTATGTGAATCCACATCTCTCTACAGAGAAAAAGTGCTCTTGTTTTGTATCGATCAGATGTATCATTCTCGAGTAGAATCGATTCAAAAATATTGTAACATATCAAATACTTATTTGCATGACATTGCAATACATCGTGAAGGCTGTTGAAAAAAAACTTGACAAAATATTGAAGTATATTTTTTATCATCATTTTGCTATATTTTATGCGCCTAAATGAAATTGTTTCGTGAAAATAAAGTAGTTCATTAGTTTTAAAACAACTGTGATTTGAGAATTTGCATCGTTATGTATGATATTATGTAAGATGTAACAATATTTTGAAATTGATGTCACTAATCTATACGACGGAACAAGTGCACCTTTTTTCTGTGAAGAAGTGAGGATTTTCATAAACCGAAATTGAATTGTCGAAAAATAAGCATACAGAGAAGTTTGAGCAATATTTGATGTAGTCTCACCCTGTATTATACTCTCCTGAATGAAATTGTGAAATGATTTCATCTCCACTCCGTAGGGTATTCATATTGTCAGTATGATTATTTTATCGAATTGCATCACTTATTCACGGGAGTTGCAGCTCCCTTAGGAGTCATTTTTCAACAACATGTACATTGAAACTTTTCTTTCGATTTTTGTGATGGAGTTTGGCAGGCTGATTTCGGGACACCCTGTACACATTCTCATTCAAAGTCTGTTATTTCGAACACACAACAAATTAACACAATAGCCTACTATCTTCAATAATACAATGATTATTTCTAACGAATCAACTTCTCGTCAACCTATTACGCAGTAACTATACCTATTGACTGTTTCATCAAAACTATGAAAGATTATCAACTTTTTTTTTGAAATATCAATGATAACCTCTTGAAAAAATCTGTAAAAGAACTACTGCTGAGAAAATGTTACTATTATGTTATGTCATCGCGGGATTTTTGGTTATTCTTAATTTATTTTCAGAACTACGGGCCCTGATTGTTTTGATTTGTGCTCACCGCTATTGATGATGCTCACGCAACTATTTCTCCATTTAACCAACCTTCTAACTAGTATGGGTTGAAAGTTATCAATGAAATCCCATCAAGAACTGACCACCCTGTATAGGCCAAACTGGGCGACCCATAAAAACAACGTTCAAGAACGCATCGCAAATTCGGAATGTGTAACTGAAAATTGTATGTTCAATCACAATCATATAACACACACATCAAAAACGTTGAATTGGTCGAACAAATTAATGATGTTAGAAAACCAGATGCACATGAAAGCTTGAAAATAGTAGAGAATCATAGTACAGTTATGAATAAGGATAAATAATCTATTGCCTAAGCCCTCTGTATAGTTTAGTGATTGAGGATTATGATTAGCATTAGATACATTAAAAGGCGCAGTTAGAGTCTTTCACGATCAGGTCAATATACCAAATATATTAGCAGCAATCTAGAACACGATATTCGGTTTCAATCTTCTCCTGAATATTGCTAAGCATACAGTCAGCGAAACAGGTGTCGAGGACTTAAAAAATCAGTTTGGTTAGTGCTGAAATAGTGCAATCACAAAAAATAGTATGTTGTGCAACAAGTGGGAGAAGTTCAACTTTTCTCACGAGTGTGGAAGTTTGTGGCACGAGCCTGAAGGGCGAGTGATGCAAACACACGATTGAGAAAAGTGCTTTTCATCATCATCATTCGACGAGGGCGACATATATACGAAAATATTGACGCGGTACGTTTGGGTATTCGAAAAAGGGACATGTTTCCCTTTTATTTGCGTTTTGTTCCAACTCGCTAGGTTTTTGAGATGTATACCATCCAATTGATATCTGATGGAATAGTTCTTATCTCGTTATCGAATCCCGAGATTAATTGCAAATTTCCGCACAGGAAAGTGCAATTTTTTAACCATTTTGCTCAGGATAGTGATTGGCAGAATCACAGAATACTGAAGAGGTTATGCTTGAAATGAAACGCTCATTTTTATCTCAAGATCATTTATTAATAGGAATGCGCTACCACCATTATTCACAATAAACTTGCAGGTAGCACTACAACATAAATATCAAGTATAATAAATGTATAGACAAAATTATTTACAAATTTGTATTGAATGAACCCATATTACTTTTACAGTGTCCATCAGAAAAGGTCTGAACACACGATAATATTTTTATTATTTACATGAAATCTCTAATGCATACTCGCATTCTTATCGAAAATATTATTGTATATCAAGACTTTTTCTGCACACGAATGTATGTATATAGGCATAGATAATTTTGGCAATTCGCAGGAAGACATTTCCAATAGTTTATTAAGTTCTTTTTATGTCCCTCTGATGATGGATCAATTTCTCACAGTTCGTGTTTGTATAGTATGTTCGACATTTTTGTACAAATTTGATTTGATGTTTGTCTTCACAGTAGCATCAGCTGAATTTTTTCAAAATGGTACTTCAAGTTATAGTATGAAAAGTCCGCTACTATTATTTCTATAACAATTCATTCACGTACCTATAGGCACTGACATTTCCGTGAAATTCATCGAACAAATGGTTCGAGTTGTTTTTATTCATTACTAGCAATTAATTTCAGAAATTTTATAGTACCATGAGGTCGAATGAAATTCACATCATTCATTTAGTCTTTCAACGTTTCTGACTCAATATTTTATATAGCTTTATACGCTATGATTAATTGAAATCATCTCGATGTTTTGTAAGTCTGCAATACAATGAACCAAGTTGAACAAACAGATTGTTCGTACATTCATTCAAATACTCAAGAAATTCAAGAAGTAATATATGATATAGATAATGGAAATTTCAGAAAAAATAAAACATCTTGTCGTGTTGAAGAAGTTTGATGTTTATCTGGATATATCCAATGAAAACATATTATATCAAGCTCTCAAGGCCACATGAGAAAACCCAAAAAAATAATGTCATGATTTCGTATTCTTTTATTTCTAATTTATTTCCATAGCAGAATTTCGAAACGATTGTCACGTTATATAGTTCCGGATCTCAAGTACGAGACAAATTAATACTATATATTATAGTTTACGGTCAAAATGTGCAAAGCCAGGATGTGACAAATCTACTATCTAGACCGCTAATGGATCTGGATCAAGATGATATTATGAATGACTTTTTTCTCTAATAGGCAAGAAAAGTGGCTTTCCTTGACAGTTAACAGGATGGAAAGATGTACTTTCTCATGCTAAGCAGAATAGTTCGTATGCAACGTTCCAAGTAATTTGAATGAAATTGGTAATCAAAATTGACATTGACATTGGATGAACACAACATGATGATGAAAAAATAACACAAAATTGGTTTTATAACATAGGAGAAATAGTTATATGTTTCACACGGATATCTAATTTTTTCCTGCCTAGTAAAACGATTAAATATTTTCAAGCTGTCATCAAATAAATTTTCTGATATAGGAACAAATGGGCTACGAAAGAGCACTTATTTTACTCATGTTGTTTCATCAGCTTGACCTAATAGAGATGAGGCAAACTGTTTCCTCGTTTTGGAAGACGTCAGACGCCTGATGAATAAATGAAATAAATATATGTGTGAGAATCTTGTGTATCCTACTATAAAACTCTGATGCGACTGTGCAACTTAATGTTACTAACAATATAGGAACATTTTTACTGGAATCATATTGACAACATAAAATTATATTTTACATTGCTTAGGTACAAAAAACGTTGTGGACCGACAAAAATTATCAAATTCACAAGTGTAACAACTTTCATCTTATTAGAATTCGAACAATATAGGCCTGTTCGTTTGTGTTTGCTCTACCTGCTGAGCTTGATTTTTTCCTACGACTTTTCCTGTTTACATTATGCTATGAACAGAGACATCTATGGGAACAAAATGAACTTTAACAAGTTCATCAACACAAACGAAGAGACCTTATGGAACAACAAAAATGGTCTATATAGTATTATTGGGGCGCCGTTAATACTACCGTTTTTTCAACATAATTTTAAGCCTTAACTTTTGGTGTTGAATGAATTACGGCGAGTTTCAGTTTCAGTCATATACCCAGATCAAAATATTGATCGATACTCTGTATCTATACAGAACTATGAGTAAACGGACTCGAATCTCTGGTACACCAAACATTATTCGAAAAATTCATGTCTCACTGAATTGCCTCTCAATTTTGAGACCAATAATACTTTCATCAATCACCTATATAAACGAAATGGTGGTACCAGGTAGGTACTTACTAGGTGACAACTTTGAATTCAATACTCGCGATTCTTCCATACACAGTTTAAAGCAACGTTTAACGAAGTGTGAGATTGAGAGGAGGAATTATATTCAATATCAATTGCAGAATATCCCGCATCGTGCAGCGTCGGCGTGTTTGAAGTTCCCTTTGTAGTGACAGCAGGTGCGGCAATTGTTTTTGGATAAACTGTACCTCGTGAAATGCATTATGGGTACCACCAGAATTCCATTTTGAACCAAATACACCATCAAATAAGGCAGGAATGCTCGGAGTCATTTCCACAAATTTTGATGGTGTTGTTAAAAAAATCATAAGGGACATGTTTCGGTCTCATAAAAGACCATCTTCAGCCTTAGGTATTGGAAGTTTTGAAGTTGAGTTTATGATGCTTACTTGTGGACCTGTTGGCAATGCCCATATAGTAGAAAAATCCAGTTTATGAGTGAAAAAACGGGTTCTCCATGAATGAAGGGCCTCGTGCCCTGAGAGCGCATACCATTCATCTCATTGAAATTCCATATATACCAAAATGGTATATGGAGGATAATTGCTAAAAGGTTGATAACACCATAAATCAACTTGTTTTTTAAAGAAGGGGTTCCCCGTGCCCTTATAAAAGCGCTTCTGAAAGATAATATCAATAAAATTGATGGGACGAACAGCCAGCACGTGTTTAAATCTGAACTTTCATAAGACGGAAATATGTCCGTTATGATTGTGTAACAACACCATTATAATTTGTGGAGATGACTTCGAGCATGCCTTCCTTCCTTTGAAAAATTTCACTCCACTTTGAGCAATATGGACTTCTACCAAAGATTAACTACACACCATTTCACACAGTAATTTTGATTGTTTCTTTGTACGTCCACATACCATAGAAATGCTTTCATATGATTGAATTCATCTTAATATTTTCAGAAAACTTCTGCTGGCCAGTTGAGTTACATAATGGGAAATATGGAATTCAAAATCTTCACCATGTATGGGTCCTTTTTCATGCATGATTCCAACCGTCCATATGAATCGCATTTCATTTGTTCAACCATTACAGAAGATTTGATATAACAGAAATCCGAATCAGATGATTTCGAAAGTACCAATTTTCAGGAGATACCCTGTATAAATAATAGCCTATGATGTTCCGGCCAAAATATCTCTTGAAAACTACTTGAGATACCAATTCGATTATTGGTGATATCAAAAGGGCTAGGATGTCAATTTCTATTTCAATACCCTCAAATGTTGAGAATGACATCCAAAATGTATTATCACAATATTATGCGGTATAACAAAAAGTAATGTTCATTCTTCCTGAAGTCAGATCGTATATTTTATACCTATATCTTCGCATTATGTAAAAATGGGCTAGTGAACTGATTTCTTTTTGAAATATTTTATTTTCAATATCCACACCGATTCTTTTGATTCCACTATTTTTCGAGGATTTTCTGAATGGTTATCAGGTTTCAAAATTACGAATGGAATCACAGTCTCTGAAGACTGAAGATTTATAAAGGATTACATTTGATTGACTGTATAGGACAGAAGTGTGAATTCATATATGGCAACATCGCTTCGCATCTCGTACTTTGTAGTGAGACAGCACAGAGCGCATTTGCCACGACACTAACGGATAATTACTGAATGTTTGTTCACATATCCTGTAGTTTGGTTTTGCAGATATAAGGACACATTGTCATGTCATTCTTGAATGAGATGAAACTGTCCATTTCGTTGAATGGTCGACTAGTGAAAACTACCATGGATATTTCGAATGATTATACTCGTGAACAACAAACTCCAAACAGCTCTACTATAACTTGCGACCTGGCAACGTGTAGGCAAGATTTATTGCACTAATTCTATGAGGTGTATAAGTGTTTGAGACATAATATTATGACGTTTTAATCAAAACCGAACAAAATTCAGTGTGGCTACATCTCTTCGCATCTTGCAGCTCGTAGTTAGAAAGCATAGTGCACAGTTGCCAAGTTACCGATGGATATTCACCGAATGTATGTTCACATAGCCTGTGGTTAAGTTTCGCCGATAGCCGATATATGGTACTCATAAAATGCAATGATACAAATTATACACTGCTATGCCATTCTTCCATGTGATGGAAAGGTGCACTCCGTTCAATTGTAGATATATAAATTCCTAGTAGTAGTAGTATTCGAGGGATATTTTGAATGATTATGAAATCGTGTGCGACATCTTCCAAACAATTCTACTTTAATTTGAGACTTTTCAACGTGTTGGGACCGAGTTATGCACACTTTTGGCGAGGTTGGCGTAGCAATATTAACAGCTGATGTCAAAATTGATAGCGGTTACATTGGAATGGTATGAAAAGTCTGTTGGGGTCTGTAACAATACAGTGACTCTATCGAATGAGAAGAATTCAATATCAGTTCAGTAGCCTATTCTTCTGTTATTGGATGTCCCTTTTATTTCCAGATTATTCGAAAAAATGGATAATTCAAAATCTTCACCCTATACACGATACACGAATCCAGTGCCTCTGCGGCAATCACCGCCAACAACTGACACTGACAGCCTTCACCTCGAATTCACTCGAGTCTCTCTCGCGAGCCCTGCCTCACGAGCAGTCCAACGACGAAGGGCTGCCCGAGGGCATCATAAAGGGCGGGCTGTGCGGGTTCATGGATATGGTACTGCCCATGGAAGCGGGGCCGTGCGGGTAGAGGTCCATGTCGCTGATGCTGTCCGCGCCGGAGCATTTGTCGCCGCCAGACTTGCCTTCCTGCTTCAGCATCATGCGCCGCCATTTCGCTCGCGCGTTCTGGAACCACACCTGGAACAAGTTTCACGATCAGCAAGTTTGCCACGGCTACTCCGAACGAGGTAGTTCTAACTAGAGTTTCTAAATGTACTGGACACTGCAGTTTTGCCGTTCTTTATATATAGGTTGCGTGCACGATGATCGACCCTGGAGGCAAAATATTGAAACACAGCCTCACTCTTCTGTGAATTGTTGAAACACAACCTCACTTTTTGCATTTGTTTACAAAGAATAGTTTTTCACAATATTTTGGCATCATTCTCTGATTATTATTATATGAGAGTGCATAGCGTCTCCTCGAGTGGGTAAAAGGATATGATAAATTGATTAGAAAATCATTTCTTCTGGAAATATTGAATGATAAAACTGAAGGTCCTCAATGGAAATCGATATCAAGTTGGTATGTACATTATGTACCAACAAAATACATATACTATTCCAATGAAATAAGTCTCTTATATAATATGTAGGTATACGTTCAGTTGAATATTTTTTCATCACAAAAGTTCAGAATTGGGTGAAAACTGATAAATATCAACCAATGAACAAACTTCCACTTCGTATGGAACAATTTCACATGTATAAGAGTGGTAGGTAATAATTAATGAATAAATGAACAAATGATATGTCAACAATAACAGCTAATTTCAGCTAGGATAAATAATAAAGGCATACGGAAGTAGGTATAAATTAATGGACTTCAGCGCTCGACTGACTATAGATCGCCGTTCACATTGCTAAAGGGAATTGTTGGTTTGAATCCGGCCATCGGAAGAGCATTCTCAAGTATTTTTTGTTTCAAAATATCTTTGAAATGAATTTCATTATCTGCAAGTTCTTCGTTTCTTGTTGGTTCTAAATTGGAATGAGGTTCTCCTCGATACTCGCTCAGTTTATAAATTGTGGGTTTCGTTCTTTCTCTCAATACGATCCTATTCTTCAATATCAAATCTTCCGTTCTGAAGTGTACCTGATAAAAATGCTTTGGAAAATGTTCTATAGCCTACCAAGAAATTTCAATACCTAGTCATCTGAAGATTTTAATTTAGTTATATACCTATGTACATCGTTCTCTGCCCAGTGCCAATTGCTTCTATATAAGAGTGACGGATATAATAAAGATCTGAAATCTGAACAGTTGTTAATTCGCATACAAACACCAGAGTTTCAAAAAGAACCATTTTTTTGTCAAGCTTGCAGTTCATGTATAATATATATTCTATGTATACAGGGTGGCCCATATTCCGTTGTCCCACTATTGCTATTTCTGAAACGATTCTAGGAAATTGGTTAGTTAAATGGAACAAGATATCAATATAGGCATTCTCTAGATAGGTAATTGAGAAAGAACAAAATTCTTTGATTCTTCATATTCAGGCGCTAGACCTCTCGATTCAAAACTACACACACATTATTCTACAGCGTTTGATGTTAACAATATTTCACAGCTCTAAGTTGGGAGTCAAAGTGAATGGAGGGATGAATATCCATGAAAAACAATACCATCATCCATAGTTCTATAGGAGGATATGTTATGGTGAACTGATATGAGATTTATTGGTCTGAAACGATATTGAAGTGAGTCTAATTTCCTAGTATTCATGTCTAAATTTTATCTGTATTTAATTTGAATGACAACCTGAGTTCAGTTCGACTGTAAGTACTGAAAATACCGAATCCACAACGCAAAACATTAGTCGTTACAATCTTTATTATGACATAAAATATATGAGTGGAACTCATAAAGCGGAATCCGAGCAAATCGAACAGTGAAACATCAAAGTTCATCTGCGAAAATCGCCATTGTTAGGAGGCACAAAAACCGACGTCGAAAAATTATTCGAAATCAATTCGTGTCGCAGCGACATCAAAGCGACGTGTCAAACGAGTGTACCGATACGAAAGGTATGACTTTGAAGGCAGAAACTCGACGCTCATTAAGCGCAATTGTGAACTTTTATTATTCAAAGAATCGATATAATCCAGTCAAATTGAATTTTTATCAGGAAAGTTAAGGGGTAGTTTTGATTTCTTCCGGCGTTCCACAAGGATCAATTTTGGCACAAATTTTATTCCTGCTTCATATCAATGATCTGTTGGGAGTAACAACTCGCCCCATCCACAGCTTTGCAGATGATAGTAGTACCCTCCATACTGAGTTCTCTTCCAGAATTCCCATCTCTTCCCAGGAAACTAAGAACTCACGGCGCAGGCAGGTCAATGCTGTCAATGAAGATCTTGCTGAAATCACAGCCTGGGGAACCAACAACCTACTTGAATTCAACGCCACCAAAAATCAAGCCTGTATTTTTTCTAGAAAGGCGGAACTCAGTATGACCGATATTGTAATGTCTGGCTCCACCATCCCCACCAAGCCCACCATATCTATGCTTGGTATTTCCATCAGCAACACTCTTTCATGGGATAATCATGTCAGATCCATCGCAAAAGCTGCTTCACAAAAACTCGGAATCTTGTTCCGTGCGAAAAGCTACTTTACACCTCAACAGCTTCTCATGATCTACAAAGCGCAGATACGGCCTGTTCTAGAATAATGTTCCCACATATGAGGTTCAGCACCAAAACAACGCTGATGCTCTTAGATTCCATCCAGAGAAGAGCCATTCGCCTGGTGGGTGACGCCACACTCACTCACTCTTTGACATCATTGGAACACCGTAGAAAGGTCGGCGACCTTTCACTTTTCTATCGATACTTCCACGGGAAATGTTCTTCGGAAATCTCTGCTATCATCCCTTCACTAGCAATACCAATCAGACGAACTTGACAAGCCCAGTCAGCACATCCTTCCGTTGTCAACCTCGAAAGATGTTGAACAGCACTTTATCAAGACTCCTTCATCCATAGAACGGCTAGGCTCTGGAATTCATTGCCTGTGGAAGTATCCCCAACAACATATTATCTCCAAAAGTTCAAAAAAAATTCCAATACCTACCTCCTGTCCCTATCCTCCCTAGGAACGCACGATGTTCTCTGAACATTATAGGGATTCCCTTTCGTGCGCTCCAAGCGATAAAAAAAAATTCCATATACGTATTACGGATTACGGGGTACTGAATCCAGATCTTGCTAACACAACGTAGTAATGCAAAATTGAAATAAATTCCGAAAAAGGTGAAAAATATATACATATCTGTCAGTTCTTTGCGTATAATTCGAAAACTATGGAGTTTTCTGAAATAATCTTCTCATTCAGAATGCAAGTAAATGAAATTTCACACATATGTGATTTTTTTTTCACACGATCTATGAACCGTTCGGATTCGACTGTCTTCGCAAAACACACTTTCTCCACTCCAAAACCACAGATTGATGTAAACGGTTGTTGATTAGTGAATTCCTTGTAGTTCCCTACTTTTATCTGGATCAATTGTATACCGGCTGTCCTAGAGCATTCAGGACAGCAGATATATCTGGGTTATACAAATTTATTTTTTTGTTTCTACATTGTATCCGATAATTTGAAATTATATACACGTGAAGGAATCGTCTGGTTAGTATAGGCACAACTAGATATCTTGTTTCACCAACCATCTTTCATGGTTAGGTACTATAGCCAGAAGATCGTTATGGTTACAAATTGATAGGGTAACAGCAATTATTTGCATCTGGTTGGGCCTATTTGAAATTGCCTAATTGAATATTGTTGAGGTAACACAATTTTTCCGCCTTGTAGAAGAAATTCACTGATGACGGCATGATAATAAATAAGAGTTATACAAGGTGATTCAAAAGTGAACGGCATCCACTCTGTGGCGTGTCTCTTGTATGAAAATAAGGCAAAAAGTTCATATTAATAAGGGTCCCAAGGGAGCTACGCCTCTTTGAATAGGACACCTCAAAGACAATTTTTTCTCTATAACTTCAAAATCCTTCATAATGAATTTTCCAATATTGGTGAACGGCATGAACATTCAATGCGTAAATAAGACTCTGGATTCAAAATTTTAAAATTTCATTCAGGGGCATCATATGCGGGGAAGAGTAAGTGTAAAAACATCGCTCCTTCTTTTGATATTCAGGTTATTGTGATTTCGATAAGAAATTATAGAAGTCTAGAGTTCACGTGAAAAAGGTACCTACTCTTAGTTCATTTCGATAAAACGTACCATTCAGGAGAAAATCAACTTTGAAAACTTTCTGATTTGCATAAATCACAATAACTCGAATATCGAAAGAAGGGATTTTTTTACACTTACCCTTCCCTGCATGTGACACCACTGAATGAAATTCTAAAATTTTGAATTCAGAGTCTCATTTACCATCAAATATTCATCTAGTACACCAATTTTCGAAAATTCATTGTGAAGGATTTTGAAGTATTTTCGGAACCTCATCAATTCTAACTCTCAGCATCATTTTCGTGCAAGGAATACGCCCCTGAAACGATGCCGCTCACTTTTGAATCACCCTGTATATGGAATGGAAAAAATACGGCTATTTTCAACTGGCGCCTGAGGCCGAAGGGTTCATCAGGGATAAATTCCAATGAAGGAGTTTGTAGAAGATCCTATCAAATTCCATTTTAGATGAATGGAATTTTTCAAAATAGTTGATAGTTCTCGACTTATATGCAAAAAACTGACGAAACCTAATATGTTTCACCTATTTTTGGATTTTCTCAACTCCAGATTCGGATTAAGCACCTCGAAAAGCATGTTCAATGCAATAAATCAAAAATAACCAACTAATTTCCCTCTAGGTGCTCTTCTGATCACAAATGGCCTGTATTATTATTCAGAGAATGGGTAATGAAAGTTGCATGAGCTTGAGCGCATCCGTCCGACTGCGCTAATCAGGTGAGCGAAACGTCTACGCAAGCGGCTATTCAGCGCCTAATAAGGCCACCACTATTAATAACAATAAACTCGATGTGGCGATAATAGTACTACAAGAGCCGAGCGATCGCCGGCGAGATCGAAGTCGGCCGTGGAGGAATTCCAAACTACCCATTATCATTTGTTAACGTTTGCGATGTCAGCATGGCCGAC